GGGTCTCCAGCTCACTGCCAGCAGCCACTCCTGCCTTTACAAAGGCCTGGGAACAGCGGCGCCGGGTCCCTTGTGTTGTTTGCCACTGAACGTCCCAGACAAGGAGCATCCGGCTGAGACGCTTCCACTCCAAAGGCGGTTAACTATGGACCACTACTCAGACTTTCTCCGGGAGGCCGGCGGCGGGGAGCAGGGCAGCTCCCGACAGGAAGCACAGGCCAAGCTGGAAAGGAGCGAGTCGGCAGGACGCGCCCCCTCCCCACAGCGTCTTTTGGCCACTTGCAGTCCTTCTGTCCTCAGGCAAAGGCAGACCCGTGGGGAGCACCTGTGAGCAAAACGGGAGAGAGAATCCTGCACAAATAGTGGGGAGAAGGACAAGCCGCTGGCCAGGGCAGCGGTCACAAGGTCAAGGGCACCTGTGACCCCCGGATCACTCCATAAACTACTGCAGAGACAACTTCTCGGTGTCCGCAGCGGCCTCAGCTGGACAGAGGCCCCCGGCTGGCCTGGTCCTGGAAGCACGGCTCCGACCCCACCGGCAGGAGCTGCTAGAGAGGCCTGGCTCTCGCCGACCACTTCCCCGGCACCTTGGATGGCCAAGGTGGGCTGGAGACTGGGGCCTGCGTGTACAGGGAAGGGGCTTCTTCAAAGGGAGAAGGTGACGGCTCCATCCGTGGAGGAAACTCATGGGCGTCACAGCAGGAGCCTTCAGGATATACGGCGCTGTCTCCAGCCAGAAATGCAGCACCTGAGGCTCTGCAAGGTCTGTTTCCGATTCAAGACAGACTGGCCACCTGCTCGCCAGAGGCACCTGGCATCCCACCCACCAGGAGCAGCCTCGGGTGTCATGGGGACAGAAAGGGGACAAGGCAACGGAGTGTCCTGGTCATCTGGACCTTTGCTGCCCCAGAGCCCTTGTTCTTAACGCGCTTGGTAACGAGGGTGCCTGGCACACAGGTGTGCCTCTCGCCTCTGCCACCTCCATGGGCATCTCCCTGGGGAGGCTCAGAGCTGAGCCCCCTGCACATCCCCCCCCAACCCGCCTCTTGACCGACTTGGCAGACGCCCGAGGCAGGTGCCCACAGGAGAGGCCAGTCCTCCTGTCCGGCGGGCTGGGGCTGCGAGGCAGCGGAGGCTGGAGGAGGCTGGCGCGGCCATGTGCGGTCAGGACCCCTGAGCTGCTTCCTTCGCATCCAGCTGGGATGCGGGGCTGAGTGACAGCACGCTGGTGCATTTTCAGTGTTTCTGAGAACACCTGCTTGCCTGTCCTGTGCTGGGCAGCCAGGGGCACAGGCAGTGCAGGGCTGCGGGTGGGACATGCGGGTCCCTGGGTGGGGAGGGGAGGCTGTTTCTACTCGATGCACGGGTCTCCTTGGAGTGACTAGAGACTCGGCGTAGTGGGCGGTCGGGTGGAGGGTCACTAGTCACTCCCTTGCTGGCCCTGAGCAAGCCCCTCCTCTGCCCTCGCTTTTCTGTGTTGAAGGGGCCCTGCCCCAAGGTACCCGCTGCTCCAGGCTCCTGGCACAAGGAGTCACACTGCGTCCTGCTCACATGTTTCTGTGCGGGGTTGCTGAATCGAGCCCTCTCGAGAAGCCCAAATCCTCCCAACGCACTTTCCTGCAAAGGACACTCCCTGCCGTGACAGAAGTATCAAGCACCCTGTGCACAGAGGGCGGTGGGGACCTGGTGGAGCCCCCGGGGGGGCTGGCTGTGGGGTGAGTGGGATGAGCTGGCCTGGCAGCCCAAGGGTTAAGGAGGCTTTCAGCAGGACTGACGAGTCGGCTGGTGTGCTCCCTTAAGCGAGGGAGGACGGCGACGGGATATTTCATGTTCTCCAAGCGGCCGCAGAGCAGAGGTGTCAGAAGGAGCCGTCAGAGGCAGGTCTCTTTCTGCAGCCATAGAGCTGCTGCTCGCTGGTGCGCAGGTTCATTTTCAGGGAAGGGCCTCTTTGATAGCTGCAGCACGGACAGCCCCACTCGTGGGTGCATGTCCTGTCACAGATGACAGCACGGCCAGCTCGGTGCGAGTCACCCTGATCAGACCTGATGGCTCGCCGGGCGGGGTGGGGTCCTTGATGTCATGTCCCCTGTCTGTCTTGGCTCTCTGATCTGCAAAACCCGGCTCTCAGGGACCTAGTTGCCCGTCAGCACCACTCTAGTTCCACCTCCATCTGGTGTCCCCGTGGTGCGTGGAGGAGGAGATACAAGGGCAAGCCGGGCTCGTCAGAGAGGTGCCTGGGCAGAGCGCTGACCCCACCTGCCCTGTCCGCAGCCCAGGTCCATACGGCTACCTCAGGGTAGGGTTGTCACACAGTAAAAATAGGAACCAGCCAGTTAAATTTACATGGGATATTCTTATACTAAAATTGATTCTTGCTTGTCTGAAGCTCAGACCCAACTGGGTGTCCAGTGTTTAATCTGGTGGGGTGGGGCACGGCCACTCCAGATGGCCCCAAGCCTCTCATGGAGGTGCCCCTGGAAAGGGGTTAGGAAGCCAGGCAGGGGTGGGCAGGCGTCCGATTAACCGATGCACCGTCAGTGGTACCTTCCTCCACCTGGAAAGAAGCCCTGTTACCAGATTCTCTTCCCAGGGCCGTTTTGACGATTAAGATGTGCTAATTCTCATCACACAGTGCCTGGCTCGCGTTGAGCTCCTTGGGGCTCCCTGGGGCGCCTTGGGGTCTAGAACAGGCCCTGCCCACAGTGGGTGCGGGCACGCGTTTGCTAAAGGGCTGGAGACAAGGAGCTGGAAACGCTGGTGAGATGTCGGCAGTTCCTCCTCCCATCACCGCTTTGTGGGGCCCACGTGTCTGTTATTCCTCCCTCCAGCACCTGCCTGTTCGTTCATAAATAAATTAAAACCAGAGGCAGCCCCCTCATCACCTCCAACACAGCCAAGGTAGCTTGGGCAACCTGAGGCTCAGTATCCAGAGACGGGGGGTCCCGTGCTCGTAAGAGCCGGCAGCTTCTCTGAGTTTCCGAGTTTGGGACCCTCCCCTCGTCTACAGCCTCCGGGGCGGGGGTCCTCTGGCCGGCCCCCTTTCTGCTCTAGACAGAGGCTCCGGAAAAGCCTCTTTCCTTCTAGAAGACCCAGCCCAGCTGTTTAGTATCTCAACCAGAGCAGATGACAGCTGAGCGGGCTGGACATGCTGGACATACTGGTGGGTACCACCCCTCCCGCCTCTCTGCTCCCTGCTTCAAGTCCACACACATCAAATATTGAACAGAAGCTCTCATTGGAGATGGCCGTGGGATGGCGAGGCTCTGCCCATGTGCAAATCAATGAGCCCCAAACGTGAGCCCCTGTCCCTCCACCCTGCTGGGTGGGGGCCCAGGTCCGCTAGGGGGCAGGAGGCTCGGCTGAGATGGCGTAGCCCAGACTTTGGAGAACCTGCGCCATCCCCGCCGTTTCCCCTGCCCGCCCCCCTTCCCTCCATCATCTCCCCTTTCACATCTCAGGGAGGCATTTCCGTGGAGCCTTCCTCCCCAGGGACCCCTGGAGAAGGACATGTGTGCAGATGTGCACGCACAGGCCCCATCAGATGACACTGCTCTCCCAAAAGGTGTGCAAACACCCAGGTGAGGTGAGAGCCTGGAAAAAATGCACATTGCTCTGGGTCTTTTGGGTGGCAAAATGGGGTGCCTACCCTCCCCAGGGCAGGCGGGGACCCTGGGTTGGCTTGTCACATCTGCGTGGATCTCACTGAGGGTCCTCCCCCTAGTGTCACCATTGCGGCTCGAGGGACCACCTCCCCAGCTAAAGGCAGCAGGTTTCTAGAAGCTGAGACCTAACAGTTCTCCATCCCGACCCCCGACTGCAGGGCCTTGTCCGGGCCACACAGGCCCCCTTCATGGTCACTACGGGTGGGGGTGGTGGCGAGGGGGCCTTGACTGCTCCTCCAGTCCATGAGATGGAGGTGCCAGGACTGGCTGAGGCCCAGGGTCCTGGCCCAGCTCCCCCATCACACAGCCCCAACGTCAGTCTGAAAACCTATTTAAATGGTGAAGCTAAAGCACCCGCTCTTCCCCGAGTCCTAGCCCTGCCGCCAGGACCCGCCTCCCATCCCTGCATGAGCCCATGGGGCTGGCACTGCTGATAGAAGGCACTGTGCCTGGCGCTCGGAGAGGCCCTCTCACGTGGCCACTGCCATGCAGCCGGCGAGGACCCTGCTCAGCGGGCTGAGTCCCCAGCCTGTGCTGGCCTTGGGGCCATCTTGCCTCCTGCTGAGCCACGAGGCTGTACAAATTACCTTCCATGTGGCCCCCCCAGTCTCCCCGTCACCCGGGGGCACCATCTGGCACAATGCTGGGATTCCAGGGAGAGCACCTCACGCCCTAGCCAGGTGGCAGCACGTCCATGCGACAGCCTGGCGTTTGTGGATGTGGTAGGTGGTGACCACATGGCAAGGCGAGATGTGGTAGGTGTGCCGAGTCCCATGTCCAGACTCAAGGCATTTTGAGTCCCCACAGCCACGCAAACCTGCCGAGATCACCGGCTGTGGGGTTCAGCCGGGAGAGGAGAACCTGCGTTTTCCTTGCCAGCCTCCGCCCATAGAGCAGCCCTCAGTGAGCCCACGGTTAGAGGACAGTTAGGGACAGTTAGGGGACTTAGGGGACGAGGTCTTTCAGGGGCCACCAAGATGAGCAATGCCAGGAAGTGGCTGCCGCCACACAAGCCCCAGGGCACAGCAGCTCTGCGTGCTTTGCGCTAAGCCAGGGGCCCCTGCTGAGACTTCCTCCCTCCAGGCACGACGGAGCCAGCGTCCCAGGTCCTTTGTGACTGTGACCCATGGGAGACGCTCCCTCGGAGGCTCTGATGTCCTTCGTGGACCAGCAGGCTCCGAGGACACAGTCAGGGCTGGGGTCAGCCTCTCCCATACGGCTACAGTGACGAGGCCACGCTCCCCAGTCCACGGCATCCACCTCACCTCTCGGTCCAGGCCAGCTGCCACTGTCACAATGTCCCCCGTCTCGCTGTTGATGGTGAACATGTTCTGGGACGGACTCTGTGGGGTCTGGGTCACGATCCGGTACCGCACCATCCCGTTGGCCGTGGTGCTGTCATCAGCGTCGTTGGCCGTGACTGTCATCACGTAGGTGCCTGGAACAGAGAAAGCATCGCAGATGGAAGTGATCTGCCGTGCACACCGCTGCCTCCACTCGCACACCCAGGGCAGGCATCACCAGCTGACTGCAGATGTCTCTGGAGCCTGGATGCAGGGCACATCCTTCCCCACACCATGTGCGGGACGCCGGATGCCTGCCAATCATCACAGGTGGCCTTGGACAACAAGTCTGCCCCCCCCACCCCACTGCCCCATATATTGATAGAACCACTGAAGGGTTTCTTCTAGAGCTCGAGAGTCCTCTGCGGCCAGCTGCTCTGACTTCCTTCTTCCTCAGCTGGGGGGAGACTGAGGCCTGGAGATGAGGAGGAGCAGCAGGACCAGGCCTGAGCCAGTCAGTGTTCCTTCTCCTCGGCCACACGGCCCCTCGCACCACCGCCTGTGTTTGCTGAGGCTCAACCGGTCCCACGCGGGCGCCACCGGCGTGGCGGGGATTCGAGGGCACACCGTGAGGAACAGCCTCGCCCAGGGCTGGGTGTGCAGCAGGCGTGTACGGAGGCACATGGGAAACACTCACAGGAGCCCTCAGAGGGGGCTCGCGTGTGGGACGGGGAGAGTCAGGCGGGTGAGTTCGGGGTGCACGTTGGGTGAGTGGCTGTCTGTATTTCAGGTCCGGGGGCTGAGGGAGCAGCCCACGTCCCCACTCAGTTCCCCAACTCCCCTGCATTCTGAGAGCAGCACTTGGTGTGCACCCCTCCCCTCCAGGGAGGCCCTGGGGGGTCAGTAACCCCTCTCCCTGGCCACGCAGAGCTAGTGACAGTGGAGGAGGTGTTTGCTGGGAAGCCAGCATGCTGTCCTTGCCACTGGACTCGGCTGGGTCAGTGTGTAAAGTTGGGGGCTGTGGCCACTTGGTGGCCGTGAGGATCGAGACTGCAGGACAGGGCCGTCCCAGAAGAAGCAAAGCCAGGCAGCCTCTGGATCAAGCCACAAGCCACGCCTGAGGCTGCTGCCTGCAGATTTTTAAAAATAAATTTAAGACTTTTTAAAGAGCAGTCTTAGGTCCACAGCAATTGAGGGGAAGGTACCCTATCGACCTTTTCTGCACCTGAGCCAGTATATTTCCCTCTTGCCTTGCGCCGTTTTAGTTTGAGTTTTTGTCACTTGCAATCCAGAGTTCCCACTGGCAGAAGCTCCCAGCCCTGTGCCTGCTGCTGGCGCCTCGTCCCCGTCTGCACGCTCTGAGTTCAGCTCCTCATTGCCAGGTTGGGAACCCCATGCTGCCTGGGGCCCCACAGGGGTGCAGGGAGTGTGGGCGCCCTCCTTGCCTGGGTCCTTTCTTGGGGCTGCTGGCTTAAGCTGAGGCTGACCTGGGCTTGGGGATTAGAGCTGGGTCCCCCGGCCTGAGGACAGCAGCCAAACAGTTACTGGGCACCTACTGTGTGCCAGCACTGTGCCAAGAGCTGGGGAGACAGTGGTAGATGACATGTGATGTGCAGAAAGTCACCGTCTAATCCTGCCAGTGCCTCGTCATTGAGCGTACGTGCGGCAAAGCAGGCTCCCTGCCTCCTGAGTGCAATCCCACCCATGCTTGGCGTGGGCCCTCGAGGGTGTCTGACCGGGGATGCGCTTTAGCATTCAGCTTTTCCTGAACAAAACATTCTCAAAGCAGGTGCCTTTTATGAAAACAGAAAGGAGAGCAGTCAGAGAAAGGAGGAAGTCTATTCACAGGGCATAGCTTCTCTAGTCGCATCTATGGAGACGAAGCTGTTCGGGTTCAGACTTTTCACACTAACAATGAGACGCTGCAGGCAGGGCAGGGCCTGGGCACCACGGGAGAGGGAGGCTGACGAGCACCAGGGCCACAGCCCCTTCCCCCTGTTCACTCCATAAATACACGTATTTTTATCAAGATGTAATTCACATATGATAAGATTCACCCTTTTAAAGTACACAGTTCAGGGGTTTTAGTATTGTCACAAAGGTGTGCCATTGTTCATAGAAATGTATCTAATTCTGGAACATTTGCACCACCCCTAAGCAATCTGTACCCAGAGCCCCTCTCCCCAGCCCCTGCAACCACTAATCTATTAATATTCCCTCTCTCTGTGGATTTGCCTCTTCTGGACACGTCATAGAAACGAATTGCACCGTCTGGGGCTGCTCTCACCGAGCTGAATGCTTTCAAGGTTCATTTCTCTTTAGGGCCGAGTAAAAACCCACCGTCTGGGGACACTCGTCCCCTGTTACTGACTAAGCACTGGCTGTGGGCGGACACAGGCTCTGTGCTCAGGATATCGCAACGAGCACGACCGGGCAGACACTGCGCTTCATCTAATGTGCTAGCGAGGGAAGAAAAAGAAAAAAAAAACAGGGCGAGAAGTAGGCCACTGCAGGCTGTGTAAGCACTTTGCAGGGGACACAGGACACACACGAGGGGACACAGAACACATGCATGCAGGGGACACAACATACACATGCAGGGGACACAGGACACACACATGCAGTGGATACAGAATACACACATGCAGGGGACACAGGACACACGCATGAGGGGACACATACACAGACTAACTAGGTGAGAGAGGGAACTACAGAGGAACCAGGAAAGGCCTCTTTGAGAGATGAAGGTAGTGGGGGGCGGGGGGCGGAGGGCGACTCTGGGCAGAGGGGAAAAGGCTCTGGGGCAGCGGAGAGATCGGCATGCCTGAGGGGCAGAGAGGACAGGGCACGTGACGGGGCTGGAGGTGCGCGGGGCCCGTGAGATTCTGGACTTTCTGCTGAGATCGCAGGGAAGCCGGCACTGGGTTTTTATCAGGGGAGTGATGTGATCAAGTTTATGTTTTCAAGACATGCCAAGGAAACAGACTGGAAGAAGCCAGGGCTGATAGTGGGCAGAGGGTGGATAGGAAGAAGGCTAATTCATCCCCTGGATTTTCTAGAGGGTTGGTTGTAATCAGGCAAGAAGAAGGTGCACCAACTGGGACGTTCATTGATTCAACACATCCGTATTCAGTGTCTTCTAGGGAAAAAAGTAAAGAACTTCTTGTTTTGAGAGCGCTAGATAAAAGTTCTCCAAACAAACACACCAACCCTCCTTCGTGCAATGAATACATTCTCAGAGTTGGGTATAAACCCAATTTTAATGAATTTAATTATCAGTAGAATTTCCCCAGAGGGAAACTAAGTATTTAAAAGAAATCCAGGAAGTTCTGTTTTTAGCAAATGCCGGACTATGTTTTTAAACCAACCTTCTCTCTGAGGAAAACTAGAAAAGCTAGATAAAATATAAAATAAAAACATTTGTTTAAAGGCATGAAAGAGCAACCAAGTACTGCAGACTGTGGGGCTGGCAGCAAAGGGGAACCTGATCCCCAGGGCCATCTTTTCTCTCGAGACATTTGCTGATCCCCAAATTGGCTGCTGACAGCTGAAGAGCTGCATCAAACTTTCAACAGACTTACGGGGACTGAGTAAAGCTGAGCCTAGGGCTTGCCGAGCAGGAAGATGCCTGGAAAACTCTCTAGTCTTTGGTTCGATTCCTGAAGTGAAATGCCTTAGGAGTGAGGGTGGACTGGAAATAATCCTAACAGACATGCACAGCTCTAATAAAGGTCACTTAGGGTCAAATGATCTGAGGTTATTAGTGTCCCTTCCAGGGGCAAAAGTAAACCTTCTATGGAGACAGATAACAGCCTACATAGCCTCAAATTACCTCCACAATTATTCATACACAAGCTACAGCACTTCATTAACTAGGCATATGAGAAGACAAAACCTGACTGAAAACAAAGAGGAAAAACAGATAATAACCAGACCCAGAGAAGATTCAGACAACAGTAGTCAGAAGCAGACTTAAAAACAAACACAACTGAATATGTTCAAGGAACTAAAAGGAGGAGATAGAAAAATTTGTCAGAGAACCAGAAATATTAAAAAATATATAGAACAGCAAGCTTATATTTGAAAAATAATTGAAGTTAAGGATGTGCATGGATTTAACAGCAGATTAAATATAACTAAAGGGAGAGTTAGTGAAATGGAAGCTGCATCAATGAAAATATCCAGACCACAGCATAAGAAACAGGGGGCTTGAGCAGGTCCATCATATTTATAATTGGAGTCCCAGAGGGGCCAAAAAGAGAGAATGCGGCAGAAGCAATATGTGAAGAGATAATGGCTGAAAAATCCCCCCCCCACCAAAGAAAGATATCAAGCCATAGCGTCAAGAAGCACTAAAAAGTCTAAGTAGGATAAATATCAAGAAAATCACAGTGAGTCACATCATAGTGAAAATGCTGAAAGCCAAAGATTAAAAATTTAAAAGCATGTAGAGAATTTTTAAAAATGGTGTAAAACTTCTAATGGAGCAATAAGAACACTTAAAGCGGATTCCTCAACAGAGGTAATGGAAGCCAGAAAAAAATGGAGTGAAAGAAAGTGCTGAAGGAAAATATTAGAAAACCCAGAATTCTTTGTTCTGTGAGAAAAGCTTTCTAAAAATAAAAGTGAAATAAAGACATATTTAGACAATCAAAAAAGAGATAATTCATCACCTGGAGACCCACATTAAAGGAAACGCTAAGGGTGTTTTTTCTCAGACAGAAGGACAATAATCCCAGAGGAGAGCTCAGAAGTAAAGGAAGGCACAGGAGCAGAGTGTGTGTGCGTGTGCACATGTGCACGTTCATGGGTGTGTGTGTCTGTGCATGTGTATTTGTGTATAAATGTTGATATAAAGAATATATGGATACATCTCAACAATATGAATTGCATAAGAAAACAATTTTGCCTTGCGGGGTTTTGAAGCTGCTTAAACAAATAAACAAGCAAAAAACATGTGCAGAATTTCACTTGCAAAGTGAACAACATGCCCGACCGAGGCCTGTCACTGTCTCTCCACCTCCTTGAAGCCAAGGAGCTTCTGGAAATGACCCATCTCCATGAAAGGGGCGAGCTGGGCAGTCAGCCGGCGTTGGTGGGGATGGATTTTGGCCCCCCCGCCCCCCAGCTTTGCAGAGCACTCGCTGCTCCCCTG